TTTTCCCTCCCTGGGTTCTCCCTCCCTATACTCTCGTGATATTATTACAAGCATTGTTTACATTTCTTATATTACTATGATTTACATTGCAAGGACGCTTCTTTATATAGTATTGATGATTTTATAATCGTATGTCTGGCAGGTTAATACCTTTATATTGTGGTTATGTAGTCTAGAAATTTAACATCAGTTAGATTATATTATAAATCATCAAAACGTCTAAATTTATTTATGTTTAATATGTGGACACACGTTGTTTTCCACCACCTTTCACTTGTTTCTGTTCTTTTCAGTGTAATCGTCATTCAGGGATCCGGAATTGGACAAACAGGACCATTTCACGATCCGACCCAAGCTTTGTTTTTTTGAAGTTATTCAAGTTTTCATGTGTTTCCTGATATTCTCATAGATTGTTTTTCTCATCAAAGAAAGCGGAAGTGATGTGCATGTCAGGGCTTTATATGGATATGATGCTTGTTTCTGATTGGTTTAAAGTTTCTTGATTGACTGCTGCTGGAGGCATAAGTAAAGAAAGTTATACAAAATACTCGCCGCCTGTCATTATTAAAATTAAGATTATAGGTACACAAAGTTAGCATAATCTAGAATTCTAATCCAATTTTCTCCAAGCACAGAAAAACCACACTTTAAAAAAAAGGTTTTCATGCCGAAACTAGTTCAAGGGCATTCACGGCTAAGTCCCCCTGAAGTATATTTGCGGTTTTGATCAATGCGAACAAGATGGCTGCCACCTCGTGGTCGTCTATAGGAATTGCGGCCACCCAGACGAACACTTAGACCACTACGGTGGAAATTGCAACAATGTATTAGTTAAGCTTAACAAGCTCTAGGGTGGTCTCCGGTTCATGTGGCTGCTCCTAATTGTCCCAATTGCACGAACAGAGCAGGTTTAAAGTATTTTAGGCAGGTCTATTGCAGGGGCCATAGTCACAGGGTAGGAGGCTGGCAAACAGGCCCCTCCAAAAACCAGTGGCAAAGTTACTTTCGTCACAGCATGTTTTTGTATGGAGTATGTGTGTATGTGAATGTTGGTGTTTGAATGCATGCGTGCATTTGTGTGCAGTGTATACACACATACATACATATATATGACGTTGTGGCAGGCTTATGCACTGTATGATCATATAATGTAACTAAACCCCCATTATTTTTGCCTAGATTAGGTGTTTTTAAAAAAACAAGTAAAATCTTTCAACATTGAAGTTGCTGTTTAGTGGATAGGTGAGTGCGCTGGATCTTGTGTATTGTATTATTTGGCCCCCAGCAGCACCCCCATTTATGCATGTTAAGGTGAGTGCAGCCAACCCCCTCTTGTTTCACACATACATACAGATACACACATTGACATACATGCAAATATACAGACGCACAGTTACAAACACACCGAAACACACATTGACCCATACACATGTACACTAAGGTGCACACTGACATAGATACAAACACACACAGATACAGACACATATACATAGACACACAGGTGCAAACTGACACAGATACATACAGACACACACAGATACACACACAGTGACACCGATACACATACACATACATACATATGAATTGCGGCCACCCAGACGAACACTTAGACCACTACGGTGGAAATTGCAACAATGTATTAGTTAAGCTTAACAAGCTCTAGGGTGGTCTCCGGTTCATGTGGCTGCTCCTAATTGTCCTAATTGCACGAACAGGCACACACACTAACATACATGCAAATATACAGGCAAACAGTGACATCCAGATACAAAACAGAAACAAACACTCAGGTGCAAACTGACACACATATACAAACAGACACACACACATTCAGATGCACACACTGACACTCTGATACACACACATAGGAGATATACAGACTCGCTCTGACATACATGCAAATACACACACACACACATATACACATACACTCAGGTGCACACTGACACAGATACACACACACACAGATACACATACACTCAGGTGCACACTGACATCGATACATACAGACACACACACACACACACAGATACACGCACACTCAGGTGCACACTGACACAGATACATACATGCAGATACACACACAGATACCCACATACACTCAGGTGCACACTGACACCCAGATACAACAAACACACAGATACACACACTGATAGATACACAGACACACACATATACACACATACACTCAGGTACACATAGAAATATACACACTGACACACTCTTTTTTTTAACCACCGTCCTTTTTCTTACCTTTTGGCTGCAGGAGGGTGGACTCTGCTGGCTGGGGCTGATGTGGGGCTGTCTCTCCTCCTCACCAAATAAGCGGTCTACAGAGCAAATAAACTAATAATTGCAGACTAACTCGAAGGCATAATGTCCCAGCGACAGAAAACTAAAGTGGCCAAAGCAAATCAAGACGCACTACATGCTGTTACAGGTTTGGCACAAGGCATCCAAAAGTTGAAGAACTGGGGGATCCCAATACCTGATACCTTGACTGCCAGGCCAGCTAAGGTCCCAAGAATGTCTCCAGAATGGACTGCTTGCTGATCTGACTAATACCTGCCCATATGGATTACACAACTATAGATGTTTGTCACCCTCAGTCATATACTGTCATATACTGTCATACTTCAATATAATTCAGTTGTTAGGCAATTCACTGTTCAGAATTTACTATGTTTGAGTTACCAGTTACCCCCTAGGTCACAAAAATCAAGCCCTCCCCCGTACTAAGGTTTTCCCATTAGTTACGGCGCTATGGCTAGGTGCTGGCTCTGCTCAAGTAGAGGTCCATGGCCAACTTACACAGCCGATAAGGACAGCAGTAATTTTTACAGGTTAACACGAATGAACTATTAGGTTCCTTAACATATAAAAAAAAAAAAAAAATGTATTATTGGGTTCCTTCATGTGCAGGCAACTAGTAGCGAGGGCCATAACAAGGTGCCAATTACATACGCACTCCCCATCTGCTCTGGTCATGTTACACCATCGCTAAAAATAGTTTCATGGTATTGCATGTGCTTTAATCAGTTCATCTGTGAGAACACCTCTATGTTAGAGAGTCTCACTGCCACGGTTCCCGTGGGTTGCACCAGCCCTACAGGTGGCACATTTAGGCTCAAGTTCTCCGTGCCAAGCAGGGTTCTCCACCCTACTGTTTGTGTACCTTCCCCCTTGAACCACCTAGTTTATCCCTCCCGTACCCACTCAACTTCCCCTGACTTCTCTTCATTAGTCTTGCTAAAATGTCTTACAGATGCTACATGGTCCACAACCCTGTACATTCCAAAAGTTACTCATTGCATATCAGCACAGATAACAGAACAGCAGAGCTTTCAGCGTCTTTGGGGTGAATGTTTAGTAAGAGCCCATACGGAAATTTTATCAGATGTACATAATGAATACCCAGGGTAAATCAAACGTTGCAATACCCTTGAGCCACACCACTTAATATAGCTGTAATAATATGAAAATAGTGACGTATAATGTCAAGGGGCTTAATTCCCCTGGCAAAAGTACGCTACTCCTATAAGACCTTAAGAAACAAGCGGTTGACATAGCATGTATCCAGGAGACGCACTCTAAAAACACCAGGAAACCAGCGCTTTTCACAAAAACATTCCCAATCCAGTACCATGCCCTTTCTGATAGCAAGACTAAGGGGGTCTTCATCTTTATCCATAGAGATATGGCATTCCAGTTATAGAGACAATTTATTGACCCACATGGACAATTTATAATTCTCCTAGAACTCTTTAACGATATTCAGTACACCCTGGTATCAGCCTATTTCCCCAACACTAACTCTAGGGCTTATCTTCGTAGTCTTTTGAAGAAAATAGACAATTATTAACAAGAGGGGCTAATCCTGTGTAAGGACTTTAACTTTATTTCCTCCCCCACCCTAGACACCACAGCTCCACTACAGGCTAATAGAAAAAATAGGATAATATAAATAAATGGAAGGAAGATATACATATTAATATAAGCTATGATGATTGGAAAAAATCATTAAACATGGTTTCAAAGAATATACACTGCCTTAACTTGAACTGTAGTATAAGTTAATGAATAGGTGGTATTTAACACCAAATAGAATAGCAAAAATTTATCCAGGTGCATCGGATAGCTGTTGGCGATGCGAGGCTCACGCCGCTGCAATGTTGCATATTTGGTGGGAATGTGGACCAATTTCTCTTTTTTGGAATATGATTGCTTGTAAGATAAACGGGCTGACTAACATTATGATTGATCCAAATCTGGGCATCTTTTTGCTGCAATTACACATAGCCCAAAATTTTGGGAAATTTTCTATATTAATTATACACATCTTATTAGCAGCTAAAATACTTGTGGCTAGAAATTGGATATCTACTAAGGTCCCAGTATGAGAAGCAGTTAAAGAACAAGTGGTATATCAGATGAAAATGGAATTGGGTATAGTTAGAGAAAGAACTATGTTGAAAGAATGGCTCAGTAAGATACAACAGACTTAAGGTATATTCTTTTATATGCAGTTAAGCTATGCAATTACCCTTCTTACATTAGTATAAAATTTATAATAACTGGTTAGAACTTATAGAAGGACGTACAATTGCAAGAAAAAGTATGTGAATCCTTTGGAATGATATGGATTTCTGCATAAATTGGTCATAAAATGTGATCTGATCGTCATCTAAGTCACAACAATAGACAATCACAGTCTGCTTAACCTAATAACACACAAAGAATGAAACGTTGCCATGTTTTTATTGACTACACCATGTAAACATTCAGTGTGCAGGTGGAAAAAGTATGTGAACCCCATAGACTAATGACATCTCCAAGAGCTAATTGGAGTGAGATGTCAGCCAACTGGAGTCCAATCAATGAGATTAGATTGGAGGTGTTGGTTACAGCTGCCCTGCCCTATAAAAAACACACACCAGTTCTGGGTTTGCTTTTCACAAGAAGCATTGCCTGATGTGAATGATGCCTCGCACAAAAGAGCTCTCAGAAGACCTACGATTAAGAATTGTTGACTTGCATAAAGCTGGAAAGGGTTATAAAAGTATCTCCAAAAGCCTTGCTGTTCATCAGTCCACGGTAAGACAAATTGTCTATAAATGGAGAAAGTTCAGCACTGCTGCTACTCTCCCTAGGAGTGGCCGTCCTGTAAAGATGACTGCAAGAGCACAGCGCAGACTGCTCAATGAGGTGAAGAAGAATCCTAAAGTGTCAGCTAAAGACTTACAAAAGTCACTGGCAAATGCTAACATCCCTGTTAGCGAATCTACAATATGTAAAACACTAAACAAGAATGGATTTCATGTGAGGATACCACAGAGGAAGCCACTGCTGTCCAAACAAAACATTGCTGCACGTTTACAGTTTGCACAAGAGCACCTGGATGTTCTACAGCAGTACTGACAAAATATTCTGTGGACAGATGAAACCAAAGTTGAGTTGTTTGGAAGAAACACACAACACTATGTGTGGCGAAAAAAAGGCACAGCACACCAACATCAAAACCTCATCACAACTGTGAAGTATGGTGGTGGGGGCATCATGGTTTGGGGCTGCTTTGCTGTGTCAGGGCCTGGACGGATTGCTATCATCAAAGGAAAAATGAATTCCCAAGTTTATCAAGACATTTTGCAGGTGAACTTAAGGCCATCTGTCTACCAGCTGAAGCTCAACAGAAGATGGATGTTGCAACAGGACAATGACCCAAAGCATAGAAGTAAATTAACAACAGAATGGCTTAAACAGAAGAAAATACGCCTTCTGAAGTGGCCCAGTCAGAGTCCTAACCTCAACCAGATTGAGATGCTATGGCATGACCTCAAGAAAGCGATTCACACCAGACATCCCAAGAATATTGCTGAACTGAAACAGTTCTGTAAAGAGGAATGGTCAAGAATTACTCCTTACCGTTGTGCACGTCTGATCTGAAACTACAGGAAACATTTGGTTTAAGTTATTGCTGCCAAAGGAGGTTCAACCGGTTATTAAATCCAAGGGTTCACATACTTTTTCCACTTGCACTGTGAATGTTTACATGGTGTGTTCAATAAAAACATAGCAACATTTCATTCTGTGTGTGTTATTAGTTGAAGCAGACTGTGATTGTCTATTGTTGTAACTTAGATGATGATCAGATCACATTTTATGACCAATTTGTGCAGAAATCCATATCATTCCAAAGGGTTCACATACTTTTTCTTGCAACTGTATATGGGTTTAAAATGGTATGAGAAATCTTCTCTGTCTCTAATCTCTATCGCAGGAAATTGTGGTTTAGGGTTTTATGTTATGATAAGTATGTTATGTTACATGTGGACATGCTAAATTTTTTTTAGTATAAATAAAGATGACAAGTAATATACTAAGCTATGTAAATTGGAACTAGATACAGCATTAAGCTATTTGTAAGAAGATTTACATTTATGCATGCCAATTTGTTGTCACATATTATGAGTATAATATGTTTGTGATGTAGTATGTTTTGTTCTTAAAAATAAAAAATAGGATAATAATGACCACATGTAAATCTCTGACCAAAAAAACCCTCATTTTCCCTTGCCTTGCATGTTCTGTGCGAGATTAAGGATAAAACTATGGCATCATGGTCTAACCAGCAGACTGGTGTAATGACACACTCTGCAACATTCTGCAAAAAATGATCAACACAGGAATAATCAAAAGGTGGAAACTCTTGTTGAGAGGCTTATGGGCCTCCAGGTGTCCACCCAAGCAAAGCAGTGTAATAAGGAGCTGTAACAGAACCGGGAAGAAGGACGTCTCCAACGGCAGATACCCCTCTACAATCTGAGTAGCCATTACTGGAGCAGCATGCAGAGCCTAGCAATGTGAGATTGTGTAGAGTGGACCTGGCATGCGTCACCAAAGAATTCACAAGTGGGAATTATTGTCAAAATCACCAAAGATGACATCATGCCCCAGAGCATTAACCTGAAACTTGTTGAAAAGTGTAATAAGAAATATGTTTTTGTTTAGTATTAGGGGCATATGTTAAAAGTGCAGAATAGTGCTATAGTCGTAGTTTACTCATTAATTTAGTTTTAGTCTAGTTTGAGTCAACTAAATCAACAGTAGATTTTAGTCGACTAAATCTCCAGTAGATTTTAGTTAACACAACTAAAATCTAATTGGTTTAGTTAAAGCCTCTATCTGTCTCTTTTGCCCTTCCCCAGCCCCTCTGTGTCTCTTTGTGTCCCTTCAGCCTCTCTAGGTGTCTCTCTTCTACCAAGCCCCGACCTGTCTCTTTTGACCCTTCCACAGCTCCTCTGTGTATATTGGAGTTTTACATATATTCAATATTTGGGAATCCTATACCTCCCTTACTCATTTTCTGTGTAAATCATTTTTTACTGATGCACTTTTTTTACAAATGCACTTTGAATCATATACTGCCAAGCCTTAGATAATTTGCTGGCTTCAACTCTGAGTAGGTCTTGCGTTTGGAGGAAGGTTGAGTGGCCTCTGTCGCAGCCTTGCTCTCCAGTGCGATAAGGGAGGTTGGCTGGTGTGCATGGATTTATAAATGGAGCCAGAAGGCTTGACAGATCCTCTCAAATTTAGCCTTGAAGGACTCCCTTCATGACAGGCCATCAAGACTTGCGTGGGCTTGTTGAGGGTGCCGTGCGTCCGCCATCTTAGGTGACCATGCAGTTTCAGATTTGCTCAATTGTCTTGTTGACCCTGCCGAGGTATAGGTACACCCAGACGGGACCGGGATATCCCTCTGACCAAGGGGGAGGAGGGGAACGGGGCTGCTCGAACTTCTTTGGTAGGTTTAAGCCTGGAGTCGGGAAATCGTCTGTCTCTCCCAACAACTGGACCATTGGCTGCAGTAGGCCACAGGTTTAGGCACGGTGTGCTTCCATCAGGGCACCCTGTTTCAGGCTGAGTATGTAGTCGGTATTATAAGGGTGGTCCCCGGGTACCTAGGGTCGTGTCCCACTGAACTAGTCGAGGTATTTCAACCTTTTTAGTGCAGGTTGGCAGGAGCTAGAAAAACACACACATATATATATATATAATTTTATGTAACTTTTATTGTACTTTTATAATATTGTATGTTAGTAAAAAAAACTTTCATCTCTCTTTTTTTCTCCCTTTCTTTCCCGCTTCTGAGTAGGTTAATTGTGATAGTTATTATACATTTTTGTTTAGGATTTTTTATAAGTTTGTTTAGCATACTTTGTATTTTAATTGATACATATGTGTGTTTTCTAAGTATGCTATGAAATTTAGTTTATATATATATATATATATATATTTAGCTTACTTTGTTTATATTGGGTTTTAATTGTTTGTAGTATGTTCTAAATAAAACTGAATTTTTAAGTACATTTTATTTTTTTATAATATTGGACGTTTTTATATATGCAATAGCTCTTTAATTGATTACAACTAGTGATGTACCGAACGGTTCGCCGGCGAACGGTTCCTGGCGAACATAGCATGTTCGCGTTCGCCACGGCGGGCGAACATATGCGCGGTTCGACCCGCCCCCTATTTGTCATCATTGAGTAAACTTTGACCCTGTACCTCACAGTCAGCAGACACATTCCAGCCAATTAGAAGCACAGCCTCCCTAGCAGACCCTCCCACCTACTGGACAGCATCCATTTTAGATTCATTCTCAAGCTGCATGCTTAGTAAGAGGAGGGAAAGTGTAGCTGCTGTTCATAAGATAGGGAAAAGCATAGCTAGGTTAGGGATAAGGGTATGCTTTTTTTGGATTTTTCTATGTAATGTAAATGCACTTAGTTGTCTGCCACTGCTGCCAGCTTCTGTGTCAGGCTCACAGTGCCCATTTCCCCAGTCAGTGCCACCAATTACATCTGGTGTCACAATAGCTTGGATTTAAAAACAAAAAACTTTTTTCACTGTTATAGATTGAATAGCAGTCAGTTGTCTGCCACTGCTGCCAGCTTCTGTGTCAGGCTCACAGTGCATACTGTGCCCATTTCCCCAGTCAGTGCCACCAATTACATCTGGTGTCACAATAGCTTGGATTTAAAAACAAAAAACTTTTTTCACTGTTATAGATTGAATAGCAGTCAGTTGTCTGCCACTGCTGCCAGCTTCTGTGTCAGGCTCACAGTGCATACTGTGCCCATTTCCCCAGTCAGTGCCACCAATTACATCTGGTGTCACAATAGCTTGGATTTAAAAACAAAAAACTTTTTTCACTGTTATAGATTGAATAGCAGTCAGTTGTCTGCCACTGCTGCCAGCTTCTGTGTCAGGCTCACAGTGCATACTGTGCCCATTTCCCCAGTCAGTGCCACCAATTACATCTGGTGTCACAATAGCTTGGATTTAAAAAAACAAAACACTTTTTTCACTGTTATAGATTGAATAGCAGTCAGTGTCCTTAAAGCGGGTGTGTTACGCTAACAGTGGATACGCTGACCAGTGCCACCAATTAGATCTGGTGACACAAAGCTTGGATTTAAAAAAAAAAACACTTTTTTCACTGTTATAGATTGAATAGCAGTCAGTGTCCTTAAAGCGGGTGTGTTACGCTAACAGTGGATACGATGACCAGTGCCACTAATTAGATCCTGTCACAATAGCTTGGATTTAAAACAAAAACTTTTTTTACTGTTATAGATTGAATAGCAGTCAGTGTCCTTAAAGCGGGTGTGTTACGCTAACAGTGGATACGCTGACAAGTGCCACTAATTAGATCCCCTGTCACAATAGTTTGGATTTAAAAAAAAAATAATCTTTTTTCACTGTTATAGATTGAATAGCAGTCAGTGTCCTTAAAGCGGGTGTGTTACGCTAACAGTGGATACGCTGACAAGTGCTACCAATTAGATCTGGTGACACAAAGCTTGGATTTAAAAAAACAAAACACTTTTTTCACTGTTATAGATTGAATAGCAGTCAGTGTCCTTAAAGCGGGTGTGTTACGCTAACAGTGGATACGCTGACCAGTGCCACTAATTAGATCTGGTGTCACAATAGCTTGGATTTAAAAAATAATAATCTTTTTTCACTGTTATA